TGATCGAACAGAAAAAGATGATCTTAACGAATCACTTATGTGAAACTGGATGATCGTTTCATAGTTCTCCCATGCCAGGGATCATTTTTAACCCCTCCTTGACAGATCCAACAGAAAAGGGATAGTATGAAGAAAAATTGGATTCCTCAAGGGTCAAACAACTTCTATACAACGACAGGAGACTGCGACCATACAAAAGGCCACACCATCTTGGTCTTCATACCTTCCTCAAGTAAGGCTTAAAAATTATCCCTGGCGTGGAAGAACTATGAAACGACCATCCATTTTCACACAAAATGACCCATAGACAAATTATCACTCCTTTTCTAAAGTTTTTCGTAAAATCGAGAATAGGTTGTCGTCATGGTGATTGTTTTGTCTGTATGTGGACCCCAGAATATTCTCCAGAACTCTTGTTACCTCAACCACACACATCGACACAACCAAATATGCCCTCCTGACCCAAGCTTATGATATTTCTTGTTTCGCTTTTCAAGGCTCATAAATTGCTGAAGTATATGGCTAGACTTAAGCACTCTTCTGAGAACGGTAGGATCTGTGTGGACATATGTGAGATTGTAGACCACATGGTTATACAGGGCATAGGATTGGCTGGGAAAAGGTGGACATATGTGCTGATTATGGGGGTAATCACAGGAGAATAGGGCAAGCTGTAAGACTTCATGTTGGTAGCGTCAAAAAGTACTACACATTGCATAGGAAAGGTTTCCTCCCTTTTTTATCCGCAATTATCCATTCGTTATCAACCTTCATTCCTTAACTTTCATCATTGGCTAATTCAATAAAGTGGCTTTTAACTATTTTTATTTTATACCATTTTTTATATTTTAAGTATTTTGTCCACGACTAGTTGACTACGTTTATCGTTTTTTCAGCTTTTACTCGACGAAATCGTCCATCACGAACGCGAAATCGAACAACTTGGCTCTGAAATGCTGCTCCCATTGCTCCAGCCTTCGGGGCCGACCGAGGCATCTTCAGGCCATCCGGGCAGCCTCGACACTGCCGAGTCCGGTGCATCTTTGGGCGATCTCGGGCCGGATGATCTGCCTTGGTTTCTGGATGCTCGTTTCTTGGCCAGCCTAACAATCTTGCGGCGTAGGTACACTCGGCTCCTTCAAGCCTGTCGAGCCTGCCAGTCACGTTGGCAACAGGCGGTAAGGCAGGCCGAGAGTCTGACAACCGAGACCGATTGTCTGACTAGCGATACGGCTCGTCTGACTGCTCATCTGCTCTTCTCCTATCTGGCCGTGACTCGAAATTCGTCAGATCGGACCGTTGCCGTGGCAACGGAGACAACGGCTCGACAACACATCCTCTTGCTGTCTTGCGAAGGCCTTCGCGACAGCCTGTCGCGTCTCAGTCTGCGTTTCCATGCGGAGGCTGGACGACTGAGACAGCGACTCTCTGACCTCGATCGGCTGACCGAGGTGACGGCATGTGATACCGCTCCGGACGGCCGGAGTCGCAGCGGTGCTCAGCTCCACCGCTTGCATCACTGCCTCAGCGTGGCTGAGACGCTGGCGGGCCGTTTGGACGCACGTTTGGCGGCTCGTCTTGAGGCGACTCAATTGCTCTCCACCGAACGGACTCGAATCGAGGCCCGCCTCGTCGAGGTCGACTCACAATGCGCTGAGCATTTGCTCACCGGACGCCTAAAAGAGGCCAACAGTCCGAGCGAACTGTTGGCTCGACTTGCGCAGTGGCGAGCGGTGAATTGTGACTTGGAGCAGAGTCTGCAACGTCTGATGGACGAGTTTGAGGCCCATACACATCGGCTAATCGAGGATCCAGTTGTTCTGGTGGAATTGGACCACCTAGCAACCAAGACGGGACATCTTGCCTCCTCCGGGGAGCATTCACTTGGAGACGCCCAACTGCCGTGGGATGACAACGAGGCAAAGGCAGTGGCCGAACATTTGGCGGCCATGGAGGCGGAGACGAGTCGACACACTTCCGAACTCGGTACTCAAGATGTGTGCAGTCAATCGTCTGACAGAGACACTCACCATCACGAAGCTGACCCCAACAAGGTCATGTTGTGGTTCGATGGGCTCGAGGTTGTCGAGGCGTTCAAATGCCGGCTGGACGTGCTGAGGACAACCACAACAGTAGGCGTGATTTGATTCACCTTTTTCGAGACCAGTTAAAGTCTCTTTAAGTCCGCTAGATGTACGTGTTTAACAGAAAAATGGGAATAAAAGCTGTCTACAGAAAGAGGATTGTTGTGGGGACTTTGGTTTTTGTATGAAAGTAAGTGATGTAAAGACTTGTTGGTTGAGCTCACTGGAAGACAACGACCGGCGTCTGTTGTTCTGCAATCGTTTGGCTTAAATACTACATTCCGGTTGATGCAGTCTATGAGACGCCCTCCTTCATTTTGGCTAAAACTGGACATGATGGGCATCATCAAAGCTGGAATTCAATTTTACAAAAGCTGTCTGCTAAGAAGACTATCACGACAGGGATTGCGTAACACCAAAAGTAACTCTGATTGAGTCTGTGTGACTTGAAGCTGTTACAAAAAGGAGTTCCAGCTCTGATGCTGCCCGTAAACTGACAAAACAGAGAAAATTTAACTCGTTTTTACGCCAAACGAGGTAGGATGCCTTTTGGGCTGCATCAACCTGAACGTCGTGGTAAAGCCAAATGGCTGCAGAGCAACGGGAATTGACTGTCGTCTTTTGATGAGATTAGCAAAAGTATCCCTTCATCATTCACTTTCACACAAACTGAAGGCCTAAACGAAAATCTTTTCTCAAAAAATTGATCAAAATCCAGCTAATCTTCGTATTTCGAAGGAGGCGAGCAAGATTTGCCTTAAATAACAGCCTTACTTATTTCTCGAAGGTATGAAGACCAAGATGGTGCGGCCTTTTATGTGGTCGCAGTCTCTCTTATTATTTCTCTCTCTCTCACACACACACCTGCAAGCAACACACTAGCGCATGCGTTGACATTGCAGGAGCAAAACGCAAGTTACTTTTGCTGAAGAGGCAGTTGTACGATCACAACCGCATTCACTTTGTGTTTATGCTAGACTGTGGGAAAGGGAAGTATGAAGTAATTTGCCAAATTATGAAATACTGCATAAAGTAGACAAAGCTATGCTATAAACAGT